GGACCTACCCCAAAAAGTCGACGGAAGTGACCGGAATCGGAGGCTGAAAACCGGCCAAACTCTTATCGCTTATTTAACCCCCAAAACGCAGAAATTTCCCCTCTATATCACAACCAGAAGCTATAACACATTGAGAGGATGAGAAAACATATCAAATTCAAAAGATTTGGTTCCCGGAATCACCCGAACGATCGTTGAGAAAAGTGGGTCAAAACCGATCGGATTTCTCGATTTTCCGGTGAAAAATGGTGGTACCAGCGGCTGAGATGGGGTGGGGCTGGTAGAGGAAGTCGAGCTTGACATTTTGGCACCAGTCCCGCCGGATTTTTTGGCCGGACGTGGCTGTGGTGGCCCAAAATCCCGGCGGGTGAAACAGGGGGTGGCTGTTTCTTGCGAAGGGAGAGGGAGGAGGAAGAAGAAAAAGAAAAAGAAAATTTAAAACTGCCCGGTTACTGTAGCACGACTGTAACGGTACTGTTGCTACAGTACACAAAATTTAAAATTACCTTTGTGTCCTTTTCGTTTTCAGACTTTTCCTCTTTCGTTGCAACTCGGAATTGGGCGTGTTGCATGTCTACGAACTCGTATCAACAAGCTCTACGCAATGGTGCCACTCACTTCTCCAAAATCGTTCCGGATCACAAAGTGACCAAATTACCCATACTCTAGAGGGCAAAATTGGAAATTCAAATTTAATTAAATTAATTTAATTCACGAAGGATTATATTTTGGGTCGGGATGTTACAGTACAAGTGGTTCCTACTAGTTTAGGGTCGTTCTCTTCTTTGTTTTTTTTGTTTGTTGTGTTTTTTTTTAATAAGTATTATTGTGTTGACAATAAAGCTCCTAGATGCATCTAGCATGTGCCTTCAAATTGACAGATTGAAGACATTGGACTTGATTTTTTAATGATTGCAACTACAATGACGAAATCTGGAAAATTAAAATTGCGGTGACCAAATTTGATTTCGAGCCAAACTCCGTGACCGAAAATGTAATTAACCCAAAAAAAAAAGATATTTGAAAACAGAGAGAGCTTTAGGCACAATTTTAAGTTTTTAGTGCCTTATTATCTAACTGAATTATTATTTTTCAATATAATATTGAGCACAAATCGTTATAATAGTGTCCTAAAGTTATTTGCAATATTGATAAAAAAAACATTATTTGGCATTTCCACAAATCTAGTTCTTAAATAGACACAATTTTCCAGTGCTTTATAGGTAGGGTAATGATTTCCCCACTCCAATTTTATCCACTTATACTCCTTTTTTAGTTATAAAATGGAGTGTAAGTGGATAAAATTGGAGTGAGGATTCTCCACTCTATAGGTAACCTAAAGAGAAACAATTGCAGTACTCGTGCTTTATAGGCCATCATACTTTGGAATGTGTGCTTTATACTTTGGATTGGCGGCTTTGCTACAAAGGCTCAAAATTTCAGTATTCATGCTTTATATAAGTCACAAGACTTTGAAAAAGAAAAGAGAAGAATATATATATATATATATATATATATACAGTCCCCTTCTATTGAGGGATCTCTCAAATAATTTTATTTGAGGGACGCCTTTTAGGGTACCCTACAATTTTTTTTTCCAATGATCCAAACCATTGATTTTTTAGGTCTTCATTCATAGATCATCCTTACAAAAAATTAGACAAATCGGAAACCGTTTCGACATTCATTGTGTTCTACAAAATCAATGAACACGGTGCTTCAAGAAAGTACTAAAATTTCAATAACTCAATTGAATGGTCAAATGATATCGGATTCAAGTGATTTTTTGTAGAGATGATCTTTGAATGTGTCTCTACAAAATAGACGGTTTGGATTAGTGAAATACAATCCGGAGTGGGCCATACAAGGAGTGTCCCTCAAATAAGTTATATAGCCACAAAAACTGTCTATTTGTGCTCTTTATAAGCCACACAAGTTGTGTCTAAATTACTTAAGCACAATTATTATTATTATTTTTTGTTCAAGTTGGTCACAAAATTATTGTGTCTTCTCTACATATGACACAAATACTACATATATGTGTCCAATGTGATTCAAACCCTCTTTTTGTGGCCTTTGGATCGTGCTTTTAGTCCAATTTTGTAGTAATGGTATTACATAAACGAATTCTTTTATGCGCTAGGTGGAGAGTTGAGTTTTTTTTCACTTTAGGGTTTACTATTAAAAGTATAGACACAAACCCACTTATTTTTCCAATTCAAACTCCAACTAAAAATTTGAATTGAGTGCCACGAAAAATACGAGTTGCCTTGTTTTATAAATTATTTACAGTGCATGCCATAGGACTGTTCATTTTCCCTTGAAATTCCTTACTTTAAGTTATTCTTTAGTTTTTAATTCATATCAGTTTAAGTAAATTAAATTTATTGAGTTGTTTGGTAGGTTCATGAGTAATGACAAGAAGCAATATGTCAGTTTTGGCGATTTTTTAAATATTTTTTAGGATTTTTTTTCTATTGAGAGGAGCGATAATATACTAAATTCACACACACTACACGGATGCTAGGATTGGAACCCAAGACCTTGCCTAGAGGAGCAATTACTCCAAACCACTACACTAGTGGGTCCTTTGCAAATCAGTTTTGGAGATTTACCACATCCTTGGACAATACATTTTTCTTTAATTTTGAGACTAGTTTAAACTTTAATGCACCTATACATACAGGTAGATCAACTTACATGCTTATGTACTATACTAATTTTGTTCATGTATTATACTAATGTATTGTGTATTTGTGCAATATTACGTATATTTGATATTGACATTCTTTTACTATGTTTTGCAGTTTTTTTCTTTATCTTTTGTTGGTCTAAAGATTTACGTATAATGTGTATTACATTAACTTACCTACATTTATATGTGCATTAATTTATTTTTATTTGATTACCTAGAGGCATATGCACCTAAACAATATAGTACCTCAAGTGATTAAGAGGGTTTGTAAGAGAATTTTTTTCAGTTTTGAACCCACTGCTATGTTTTTATTTATTTATTTTTATAATACAAACGATAGTCTAAACACTACAGGAGAGGGGAATTTCTCTCTCACACACTACCAAGATGCCATGCATGTTCAAACTTGAAATCTCTACTTTGCAAGTCAAGACCATTTGTTTCTAACCTAAACCCCGTTGGCAACCCAACACTATATTTTGATCCTAAAAATCCACATTGAAAAAAAAAATGCCATATATAAACTTCATGCATAATTTATAATTAAGAGAAAGTATGTAGAAAAATCCTAGCCATTCTCTCCTTCTATGAGTCTCAAAGAAAAACTCTACATAGGGGGAGGAGGAAGAAGCGTCATTGCCCCTCCTCCCCTCCTATCTCCTCGCCTTAATTTTATTTTAACATGTTAATTTGTTGCTCTTTAGGAATTGATACTTTCGATTCCTTGTTTTCCAAGGACAAGCTGTACGGAAGAGTGTTTTTATTGGGCTTATCCAATATAGATCCCTACATTTTCTATTTCCTAGACATATACCCATCACTCTATAAATCTATGTGTAAAACCCAATTTCAAATTTAAATGATTAGTAGGATATAAGAGGTCGTAGTATTTCTATGTTTTTACATCATTGCCACTAAACTTCATATTTTATTTATAATTTATTTCAAGCATTTCATTAACTGCCATAATTGTAATTAATATACTCCCTATTAATAGCATATCAATCACCCCATTTCTTTTAGTTGTCATTCCCTCTCACATCTCGCCCCCTAAAATTACAAACAAACAAACAAATCTGTAAATTACATATCCAATAATGTAAATATAAAAAATATATATATAAATATATACATATAAATATATATTTTTATATAAAAAAAAAAAAAAAAAAAAAAAAAAAAAAAAACAGTTACTTTGTAATTGCGTATATTTTTCATAATTAAAAATAGGTACACAATAATTTATATAAAATATAGGTACATTATTTACCCACAAGTAAATTATTTTACAATATACCTGTAAATGTGTATAGGTACATTATTTGGAATAGATAATTATGTACACTTTTCATACTAGGTAAATTATGTTTTTCATAAAACAAACAAGTAGGTACATTATTTTTTCAACATAATTAGTATGTACAGTTTTATTCATAAACAATTATAAAGTGGATTATTAGTCATGTATAATTCATAAAAAGAAAAATAACATAAACATTTTATTAAACAAACCGATTACCTAAATTTGAATTTATTGTTAAATTTTTAAAAAAATGTTTCAAAATTAATTCCTACATCCATTACAACCATTTGGAGATCTTTCCAAATTCAACATCTGTCATTATATACAATCCAATTAAAAACTGTTTCCATATTGATTCATACATTAATATACAAAATGCAATAATGACTTAGTTGGGAGTATTTTTGGAATCTGAAAAGTACAATAAATCAGATTTTATGCTTAATTAGGTAACTTGCTGAGTTGGATCCTAGTCATGGGTTTTTACTTATACAAATTGGGTATTATTTATAGGAACAAAAAGTGAAGGGTTTTAGGTACGGCAAATTGAATTTGAAGGGTGTAAGCCAAATTTACTAGTTTTTATTTTATATTTTTTACATAACTCAGCATTACAAGGGAAATTTATTTAATATGAAATAAAGAGATACACAGGGAGTTGGGGTGGTGGGGGTGTAGAAAAGTGCCTTCTTTTTCCCAACCAAACCCTTATCCCATTTGAGTCACAACTCATGGGTTTATTGATTAAATATATATATATATATATCTATATATATAAAGTAAAAGGATAATGCTTCCATATGGAAGTCCAGGATGTTATAAATAGCCTCCCTTGAAGCTCATCTATCTTGCATAATTTTAATGCCCATATACCTGCCCAAAGCACAAAAATTGAAAGGGGTGAAAAAGGGAAATATGGCATAGAATTCATTTCAAGCAAGCGATTTCAACAAAATAATTCTTCAGAATTTCTAGTGGTTTGCAACACATACCTGCCTAACATCATATAGAAGCCTGAGGGTGGCTTGCTGGCATGGAAGGGAATGTAGTGGCATCAACAACGCGTAATGCGTCGATTCCCATAACACGCAAACCGTCATCAACAACCTTCCCAACAAGGCATCCACCATGGTAATGCCAATATGAGGCTACAGCATCCTGACAAAAATTTTCGAAAGATGCATCATCTGATTGGTTTTTGGGCAAAGGTATTCCGAAGAAATTGAAACCATCTATGCCCGGTAAATCTGGATTAGCTCGATATGGTTTTAAACTGTCTGTCCTTAGGAAATTCCCAATATTTTTCATACCACTAACACAATGAGAAAGGTCTATCGGATTTGAAAAGTAGTTGAATTTGATATTTGGAGCAACTCTCACATCAATGGATCGTAACGTGACAGAACCATATGACAGAGGTCCTGGAATTTTGTTAACAATGTGAGCGAAAGTCGAAGGTGGCAAGGGATAAGATGGACTAGGAAAAAGACTAAAGGGTGGAGTGGAATAATTCGACATTGAGATAGAACATTGGTAGAAATCGTCTGTAATGCCCAGTTTCGTTACGTATGAGGGTTTCAGTGGCTTTGGCGGCAAAATGTTAACGAAATTACGAGGATTGTCATACACATACTGGCCAACATAAGGATTGTCATGATAAACTTTGATGTTCAGAGATGATAAGTTAGACTCTGGGCCAACACCACTGAGTAATAGAAGTTGAGGGGTCCCAATAGTTCCTGCACTCAATATAACTTCTCCCTTACTGTGTATAAATGCCTGATGAGACTGTAAGTTAGCATCACTGTATTTGACTCCTACAGCTGCTGGCTTACCTGCATCGGAGAACAGCTTAGAATTAATATGTCATACAAATCCAACGGAATTAGGGAAATTTAGTTCACACTTGGGACAATACTGACCTTATATCGCTCTTTCTGTTAGTGCTTAAAATTACATATAAATTTACATCAATTTTGGAGTGCAATATCTGAATTATATGCAACAACATTACCTAATTGATTACGGTTCGAGAAGATGATCTTCTCTACTGTGGCATGAACTCCAACTCGCAAGTTATTTGCGTCTCCATTATTAAGCAGTTCATCAGCTGCATGTCTTGTTCCATTATTGTCGAAAGTTGAGGCGGTGAGTCTAACTCCTGGTTTGTGATCCAAACTGAATCCATTGCGTGGAGAAACACCAGCCTCGAACAATCCATCTCCTGCAAGAGCTTGCCACTGTTGCCAATTCGGCCTGACAACAATGGTGTCTTCAATCCACCTATATGTCTTATTAACCAAATCCATGTCCCATTCAATTCCTGATTGATTATAGAATGAAATGTTAGCTCTGGCATACACGCCAGCATTGATCATGCTCGTGCCGCCGAGGACCCTTCCTCGTACATTATCGATACCATCTTCGGACACAAACCTTTGAACTGGTGTCTGTCCGTTATCTTCTTGTTGGAGATTATATACAAACCCGTCTGTGGTCAACAGGTTTGGATATGCTGTAGGAAGAGTGCCCCTTTCCAGAACAAGCACCGAGTACTTTTCTGATAAAGTTGCTGCCAATGAACACCCTGATGTTCCTCCACCAACTACAATGTAGTCATATGTTCCTTCCAATTGTGGATCACTGGCGTTGTAAACAAATTTCAGGTAGCTAAAATCTGCAAAATGTATGAAGAGCCAGATGAAGAGCTTTCTTTATAGTATATATGCATGAACATATATATATGTACTTGTAGGTGGGAAATTCATCAAAGGCCCCGCATAAAAGTGCTAAAAACAAACCTAGGTAAGCAAATTACTATAAAATGAAACCTAGCAAAAAACTACAAAAACGATAACTCGGAAGCTGAGACAAATTCCGTTTCCTTTTCTATGCCTTTTTCTCTTTCTTTTTTGGTTGAATTTCAAATGAAGTAGTTTACCATGAGGATGATTCTTGGAAAGCGAGTGGACCTCTAAATACTGAAGATGAAGGACAAAAAGGTGCAACACCAATACTATAATTGACATTGTTGTTTTCTCCATGTCTTTGAATATTCAAAGCACTTGCACACCTCAAGAATTTATAGAGGGTCAGACTCAGTAAAGTTCAGTTGAATTGTCATGTTGTCCACAATCCGAAGAATATAGCTAAAGTCACTTGCATGAATCAAAAGACAATATAATTTCTTTACTACATTTATGTTGGCAAGTTCTTATTTAGTTAGAATTTTTGTTACTTATCTATTTATTTAGTTCTATTGTAATTGGGATTTATTTCCTATTCTATTTAGGGTTAACACATCTTTGTACTTCTTTATATAAAAAAACCCCATATTAGAGAAGAATACACATATGAAAAATCTAAGCATATCTGAAATATCTAAATATATCTGAAAGTTCCAATTTACTTTGTTTGACATCGTATCAAAGCTTAGTTGTTTGACATAGCCAATATCAAAGTAAATGGTAATTTTCGGATATGCTCATATTTTTTCAGATGTGTATTCTTCTCCAATATGGAGGTATTTATAAAGAAGTACAAAGATGTGTTAACCCTAAATACAATCGGAAATAAATCTAAATTACAATAGGAAATAAATCTCAATTACAATAGAACTAAATAAATAGGTAAGTAATCAAAATCCTAACTTAGTAAGAAATCAAAATCCTAACTAAATAATGACTCGCCAACACTCCCTCTCAAATTGGCGCAACGATGTTTCACATGCCCAACTTGATAAGCGAGTCATAGAGCACCATACTTGACATTGACCAATCAAACAACTGTAGAGAAGGTCTTGCTGTAAACCATGAGTGAAACAACATGCAAACCAAAACAAAGATCACAGTGGAAACACAAGAGCAAACCCTAAATAATAGGGTACACGGCAGAACACATAAACCCTAAACATAAGGTGTCAAGATTTCAGAGAGACGAACCCTTGGCCCACCACTAGCAACATCGATATTGTCCCCAACTTAATCACCTGTTTAGCAGGTGTGAGGTTTTTATAGAAAAGGGCTCGATGTTATTAGGAGTGGAACCATTTATTATATGGGACTTTCTATTTTGTTAAGTTTCCGATGTGGAACTCGTGTATTCTTCAACACTCCTTCTCACGTGGGACCACTTTTTAGTGGGCCACACGTGCAACCAATTCCACATTGGTCACCTTTTTTTTCTTTTCTTTTTAAAAAAAATTGGGGTTTGTTTGATTTTTGATTCAATTTGGGGTTTTTTGTTTGATTTGAGTTTGTTTGATTTGGGTTTAATTGGACCTAGTCAACCGACCCGCTCTGATACCATGTTAAAATATGAATATGGTTTGAATGTATTAGGTTGTGTTTTATTCTTCTCCATAAGGAGGTATATATAGGAGTTTACATGAGTGCTTTACAAGGAATTAGATACAGTAAAGAATTAGGAAAGTATCTCCTAATTATACAATGATTTATCACTTATATAAAAAATAGGAAATTAAATCCCTTAATTAATCAAGGAAGTAAATCTCCTTGATTAATTAGGAGACTCAAGTCAACACTCCTCCTCAAGTTGGTGCATATATGTCACCAATGCCCAACTTGGTAAGTGAGTCATGAAATACTCTTCCACAAATAGCTTTGGTTAAGATATCTGCCAGTTGATCTTCTGATTTTACGAATGGTAGGCGGATGATATTTTTCTCAATTTTTCGTTGATCAAATGTCTATCCACCTCAACATGTTTGGTTCGATCATGTTGAACAGGATTATGGGCAATATCAATAGCTGACTTGTTGTCACAATGCAACTTCATTGGCTTTTCTGGCTTAAACCCAATTCTGTCAAGACTCTTCTGATCCACAATAATTCACAAACTCCGTGAGCCATTCCTCGATACTCTGCTTCTGCACTAGACTGAGAAACCACATTTTGCTTTTTACTCTGCCAAGTGACTAGGTTACCACCCACGATGTTATTAGGAGTGTTACCATTTATTATATGAGACTTTCTATTTTGTTAAGTTTCCGATGTGGGACTCGTGTATTCTTCAACATAAGGCACACAACAGAACACAGAAAACCATGTGAACACGGCAGAACATAGAAACTGTGTAAGCAAGGCAGAACACAGAAACCCTTTAAACACGACAGAAGGTAAGGCAAAACCAAACCCTAAAAATAGGGTAAGGCTCAACAAAGGAAAACCCAAATCTTAAAAATAAGGCAACGCAAAGCAAGGCAAGGAAAAATAAAAGAAAAACAAAGCACGAGCAAGAGAAAAGGCAAGGCAAGGCAAAACAAAGAAAAATAAAAGCAAAGTTAGGACAAGGCAAAACAAAAGAAAAACAAAGCACGAGCAAGAGCAAAGTGAAGGCAAGGCAAAGCTAGGGCAAGGCAACGACAAGGAAAGACAAAGGGCACGACCACAACAATGACCACATCAACGGAAAGTGAAGCAAGCAAAGGCAAGGGCAAAGGCAAGGGCAAAGGCAAAGGAAAAGGCAACGGCAACAGGAGTGGAAAATGGCAATTAACAAATTCTTCCATATCATTTGTTGCTAATTCATGGCTCTGATACCATGTTAAATTTCAGAGAGACGGGCTAGTAACCCATTACTAGCAACACCGGTATAAATCTCAACTTAACTACCTACAAAGTCCAGTAGGTGTGAGGTTTTATCCCAAAAGGTGTGAAACCATTCATATATATGTTGTATTTTTATTTGTCAAGTTTTTTATGTGGGACTTTATATTCTTCAACAATTTATTGATCATATTGCACACCACCTCTCTATGTGGTCAGTAAATGTAGTACAAACAGAATCACTCATCAGAAGCACACATACATTAAAAATGGTACATCCACAAAACTCTCTAATATCTCTCTCGACTCATCAATTTAAACAAGTGATTCTTTAAAAATGAATTTAGCTAGAGCCAATTGCTCAATTTTTTCTCTTTTTTACTTTGTTATTGAGTGGAAGAAACGATCTGCAATTTTAATAAATAAAAAAGTGAACATAAAACTGAAGAAAGGTTTGTAGAGGGAGCATCCGTGTAGGGATTGCTTGTGAGTTCCTTTCAGTTTTGTTTCCCTTTTTTTGTTTTTTTTTGCTTGTGAATTCCCTGGGAACTTCTATAGTAAATGGAATATACAGAATTTTAATCAATCAAATATTGCAAAGCCCCGGTATCTATTACCGGTCAGAATTTGCCCCTATTTACATGAAAATACAATAAATGAATAGTCTTTCGATGAAAATCATTTGAATATTCCGATCAGAATAAAATATAAATCCAATCAAAATTATCATGTTGCGTTTTTTTTTGGGTAATTTGTGGTCCTCCAGGTTAATATTGTGCTCACAAGTAGTCCCTACCGTTTGTCTAAAAGTCTGTTAAATTGATGATGTGGCACACATGTGGCCCTTGCATATCCAATGATATAACGTCATATGGATTAAATATAAATATGTATTTTTAAAATAATTTAAAAATGATAAAACATAAAGAAATTTTTTTAAAAAATAAAAAAGGCACAACCTGATAGTTTCATGAATTTCACAAACGTTTTGTGATTAAAAAAAATCTTTTTATTTTGTTTTGTTTCTGTTACAAAATTACCCATTAATGTATTAATGTACATTAGTGTGAATTGAACCCATGTATTCAACTAAAATAGTATCACAACCAACCAAGTCAAGTGGGCAAACAGTTATGTTAGTGTGCGCTCTTGCATATATATAATGTTTATCATGTAGAGTGACACCACTTGCACCACTCCAAATTAGCATATATAAAAAGATACAAATAAGTGGCTGAAATCAGAATCCACAGAGAATTGTCACGGAGATTCTGAAAAGCCACATCCAACTCAGCTGAATCTGCGCTAAAAAAAATCAACAGATATTATCTTATCTATCTATACATACAACAAAAAAAATATTAAATAATAATGAAAACCAAACAAGTTGGTTGTGCAATTAGACAACAGTACAAATAAAATATTGTTTTTACTTATTTATGAAAAAAATACAAATAAAACTAAGAGGAGATAATTATTTTAGGTCCAACACTCCAACTAATTAATTGTGGATGACACTACCACACTTGATTTTATTTTGTCCACCCAACCCCAATGGAAAACAAAGTATATGCTCCAACCATTTGTTTTCGTGGTGTATGAAACCAATGTGTTTACGTGTGATTAAGATCCCACCCACACCTGGGAGAAGAGGATAAAATTTAAAAAAAATAATAATAATAAGGCTTAAGTGGTAAGGGTATACGATACAAACCACTTAAAATGGTGAAGTCGATAATGATGATTATATTATACACATGTTATATTAAGAAGGTTATACAGCCTGAATGTAATGTACCACTATGAATGATATGTTATCCAGAGCATCAATTTAGAGAATGATATATTGATGTGTCACTTATGATTTTTACTTGAGTACAGTAGTATGAACTTTCTCCATTCTTGCAGTGGCGGAGCCAGGATTTCACATTAGAGGGGGCCCTTAATAAATTTTTCCTTCTCTTCATAATTATCATGAATTTCATATTTTAAATTGGTTAAATACTAATATCATCATCTACACATTAAAGACTTCAAATTGGATTATTTATATTCCAAAAGAAAGAAAAGAAATAAAAAAAAAACAAAAAAAATATATATAAAAAGTTCAATGCAATTAGTGCCAATACTACATAAAAAAAAAAAAAAAAAAAAAAAAAAAAAAAGTAAAAAATTCATAAAGCTTTAAACAAAAGAGAGAAAGAGAAAGGTTAAAATTAGCGGGTTTAGTGCAAATATCATAAACTAACCTAGAAGATTTAAGAGAGATGAGTAAAAGAGAGACAAGAAATTTTATGGTTAATTTGTAGACAAAAAGAACCTAATATATTATTTTATTGTGAAATAAATATGCTAAAACTAATATAATATATTATAATATATATTATATATAATATACAAATAAATAAATAAATAATTGGAGTGGGGACCTGAGACCACACTGGTCCCATGCTGGCTCTGCCACTGCATTCTTGAGT